TAAAAGTGATCATAATGAAAACTAGTTTTTGAACATGGTAAAATTTTAGCTTCCAAATATTTCTCATGCTGTTCTGTTATTTTCTTAACTGTAGGTTCCTTTAATTTTCGTTGGCCCAATTTTTCAAAGGTCATCAATTCACACTAACAAGCTGGGATACATAGTTAATGATAGCTGTTGTTTTATTTAGCGATTTTTACTCCTAGCTGATTTTAAGTTACAGTTTGACGTTTTAAAAGGTTGAAAACTGACAGGACAAAATCAACCAATCTTCTATGTAGCCATCTGCTATGTGCCCTACCTCTTCAAATCTTTTGATATATCGCACCAGTCTCGAAACACGCAGAAGTCGCAAAAGGCTCAACAACTTGGCAAGTTTGAGGATGCGAAGAGCCCGCGATGCCTTGATCAGCGTTTGCTCCGCCGACGAAGATGACACGATAAAGTACGCGTAATCAAACGGAAGTGACGAGAGCAAATCGATCAAAAACCAGCCTCGTAAGTACTTCCGGCGGATAACTTTCTTGTCCAGTATCACCTCCTCTTGATTGTTAGGATCGACAATTCCGGTTTTAAAATTCAAGCAAATGTCTATGAGGAAAATGCTATCGGAGATTCCATTTAGGATGAGCCAGTGCAGTGAAAGATCGTCACTCAAGAACGAAATGCTGACTGGGAGAAGAATCACATGCATGGAAATAAAACAGATTAGGAGGATATCCCAGTACCATCGAAATGTGCTGAAAGGATGAATCACTCCCTTGCCCTTCTGCTCTTGCCGGCGCTGTTCAATAAGAACGGCAGCTTTATTCCCGAACAGTTTCAGCGCCATCTTGTTGTCTGGATTAGCTGCGAAGATGTCTCTGAGGTATGTTAGAGCTCTGCCTCCTCTCGAGGCTGTAGACAGCGAAGACTGCAGGTTAGCATGTCTTGTTAGGGTTTCTACTGTTGATTGTTGGTCCTGGGACGGGCGGCCTCGCGCCTCGCCAGGTTCATTACCTCCGTGGAGACCTGCAAATATAAACGTCTTCAAATATCACAAAAATAACTGGTTAGATTATCACTGGTGCTGAAGAAAGCTGCCATTTTTTTTAACCAACCAAGCATTGGAGCAAATTGTTGGAAACTGAGTCTAAAAGTACAAAAAGCAAGATACGCGGCAACGCCTAATAAGGAAAACAGTTCTGCTAAGACTATCTAAAAGCGATGAGACAATATTTATAAGTTTTTCCTTTAAATAAGGAAGTTTTCTTTTGAGGAAAATATAACGGCAAGTCAGATGAAGATTAAAATAGTTTGCTTCTGGTTGTACAGTCCGCCGTGGACGCCAACTGTCGCCATTTGGCAACAACACTGAACAACAATCCTTGATTAAAACACAATTTGGTTTAAAGAAGCAGATTTGCTTGTGGGGTCGTGTATCAAGCTAAAAGTTTAAGAAACGGCAGAAATATGTACAGTGGCACTAACAATTCTATAATTGTTCATTCACAATAACAAACTCAAAAACTTCTAAAAATCCCTCACGTTCTTGCTCTGCGTTTGGCGACTAGACGAGCAGTTCCGTCTTAGCTCTCTTGAAGGGGAAAAAACTCGGAGAAGTTCTGACCTCAGTGTTGGTCTGTTATTTCTGGGCTAGTAGCAAGCCGGTAACAATGATGCTATTCCTTGAGGCAACTATTTTCGTCTTTTCATTGTACTTGAATTATTTCGTGGCGAAAACTCATTTCAAAGGAAAAAGTCCAGCGTTTTTTGCTTTCAGGGATGCCATGCCTGAAGTCTAAATCTGCGCATTAATTAATTGATGTTGTGCTGTAGAACACAAAAATAATACCTTTTCTGTTTTGTTTTGCACTCATATATTTTGTACGCGAATATAAGTGACACGCATGTAAGGTGCAGCACTTTTAATAGATAGACAGGGAGGCGTGATGGCCTCGTGGTTCGCGCTCGTCTCCGGATCGAGCGTTTCGGGTTCGAGTCCTTGCCGGGGACATTATGTTGTGTTCTTGGGCAAAACACTTTACTCTCGCAGTGCCTCTTTCCACCCAGATGTTAATGCTGGGGACTAATTTAACCCTGCGATAAACTAGCATCCCATACATGGAGGAGAAGAAATACTACTAGTCGCCTTATGCTACAGGAACTGAGATAAGCTCCGGCCTGATGGGCCACCTGCGGCTCGTATGCAGACGTAACCTACCTTTACCTATTTCTAATAAGTACGCATTTTATCATCTCACCTGGCTCAGGAAAAGAATGCCTCCTGCCTTTGGATAGTCTTCTTTTGTTGATAATGATAATCGGTTGTTCCACTCCCTTCTCTCTTTTATCCGCATCATGAATGGATTTTTCCGCATCACACGGGCACGGTTGTATCAAGCCACACGTTTTGCAACGAGTGTCATTAATGTCTTTTCGGTTGGACGCCATGTTTGTCGAAAGCTCTTCGCGTCAAAGAAGCTAAAACTACCTCGTCTTGGAATAGAGCGACATCATTTTTAAGTCACATCATAGTCGGCAACTTGCCCAGTTGCCAGGCTTAATTTTAACGAAAAAATTAAACTACATCGCGATCGACGGTAGGAATACTGAATAGTTCTTAAACGTCTAAGGGCTTCGCCAACAACGTGACTGATTGACTGTGACGTAAAGTAATCAACTCCTGTGATTCAGTTCTGCGCGCGCGATATTCAAGATAATTTTACATTGCATCGCTCGATTCGTGAAGCGAAGGTCAGCCGATTCGTGCTCGACAAAACGAAACTCGCTGAACTTTTCAAGTGTGTTTCTACATACGTAGCTTCCGAAGAAGACGTTCCACGAACGGGAATAGAAATCCAACTAGCTCAACCGCGCACACGTGAGCGCGAGAATAGAACGTTACTATATGTATTAACGCGTGAGCAGAACCAAACCAAATTAGTACAGAATATGGTCTCTTCACACTTCTGCAAAATCAGCTTGGAAGAACGCAAAAAGGCGTTTATTCCTCTTCGAATCACATTCGCGAGATGTGTTGGGATATGATGAATTACGGGTGTAGCCACACTTATCGTGTCCAGGCCACGTGTTCAAAAGAAACGTGGGTTCTGTTATCTATGCAATCGTTTTCTAAACTCGAATCAAGATCTCCCACGACCAAAAAGTGAGGTACGAGGTACGAGGTACGAGATTGCCCTACGAGATAAATCATTCTCGTCACCAGAGGCCGCGATGTTTTTGGTCAGCGCTTATCTTCTCCATCCTTAATCCTTGGTGGGTTATTATTAGTCAATGAAATCTGAGAAAATGCCAGGGATGGCCGAAGTCTACATTTTATATAATCGCTTAAGAAAGGCTTGAAAAACTCCGCAAACGTAACTGAATTCCTAACGACGTTTTGCGTTCATCAATATTTCTCAGGCTGTGTTTATTTCCCATTTCAATACGCAGAATGTTTGATAAGGTAGGTTAAGTCTGCATGCGAGCCAAGTGGCTCTTCAGGCCAGACAAAGAACACAACACAATGTCCTTGGCCAGGGCTCGAAACCGGACCGTACGATCCAGAGACGAACGCACTAACCATAAGGCCAGCTGCGCCTCCCACGATAAGTTTGAGATAAGATTCCTACAAAAAAGACGTAATCACATACGACTTAACTCATTTTATTACATGCTGCCACCATCACTCGTGTAAACGAATGAAACTATACAAAAATAATCTGACAGACTATAACAACTCTTCAATTTTACACACAGCCCGCCAGTTTACTAAGTTACCAAATGCTTCGTTTAAATCGGGATTTGAATGTGAAACATTTTCAGCTCCGAACAATGACTTTTCGTAGAATTGTAGCGCTCCTAATCTTTAAGAACTTTGAGTTTGTTCTTGGCTGCTTTGATAACAATTGAAATATTTATTCAACGTAGTCTCACAATTGGTTGGAAATACTCAACTTTCATCTTGTCTGAACACGAAGCATATATTTGGAATAGGTATTCCAAGCACTTAAAAAATGGACAACTTTATAAAATGTATTTTCCGTGATAGTCATATCTAAAGGCTACATCTCTGGTTGTCTGTGGTAGGCTCTCTTATTGCCTAATGATTGACGCATATATTTTATTTCTTACAAGCCTACGACGGAAACCATTTTGATACAGAAAATTATAAAGTCCATCAATTACTGTAACAGTGCTTGTCTTGGCGGCGTGTAAATGGCTTCCTCAAACGGCCTATTTACAAATTGGTAGTTTCTTCTTTTTTTCTCTCCACAGCTTTCACTTCATTGTTTGTACAGCGTTTACACATTTAGCCATGGTCTGCGAAGCACGGCTAATGGCGTCCGTCATGTAGAAATCCTTCAGTTCCAGAATACTTGGCTGCAGGGGTTGCTTCAACGATTGTGCTTTAGAGCCCTGAAGTTGCCAAAAAAAAAAAAAAGAAAAAGACGGCTCAATAACAGCAAATAAATTGTACACATGAACAGAGAGAAGGAACACGACATTCACATGGAGAAGACTAACCAATCAGCATCCAGCAATATTTAAACTAACCAATCAGAATTGACTGTTCACTTGTGCGCGTCTTTCTCTGGCGGGAAAACCTTTTTACCGCCGTTTTCCCGTGGCGGGAAATTCTCTTTCCACGCGTTTCTAACGGCGAAAAGGTCTGGGTGAACACGTTCGTCAACAGTAGGAAAAATTGTGTTAGCCACTGACCTTTGCATCAACACGATATCGATCTCGAGAACATAAATATAGAAGTAACGGCGCCAAAGCTGAGTCATTTCAGTGATTCTTGATTATAGTCTACAGGTGCTGATCACTCGTAGTTACCTATTACTCTTACCTGCATCAAACCCAGAGCTAAGTTGAAGAAGTTCGCCTCCTCTACGTCACCATACCGAGTCAGGTTCGGAGACAGCTCGGAGAGTCTTCGTCTGATTTCTTCTAAGTTGTCGTATGGAAGGGTATTACCCGCGATCTGTTTCCAGCGGAACAAAGTTCGATTTAATTAGACCACCGAGTAAAGAAGAGATGTACTGGGCTAAATATTAGAATCTCACCTCTGACAGCGCTCTGATGATCTTCCAATCGTCACGCGCGTACACGGGTGGCGTGACAGCCCTCCTGGTCTGCTGGGCCCTCCCCTCTGTGTTTACGTAAGTGGCGGTCTTCTCTGTGTACGCTGCACCGGGCAGGACGACGTCAGCGATGTGTGCGCCATGGTCGCCATGGTGACCTGAAACGAGCAGCGGCAAGGTCAGTTAGAACTGCGGGAGAGGGGTGGGGACTTGACAAGATCAAGGCCAAGTAGCACACGCTCAATTTACACAAAAAAAGGTCGCAAATAGTCACGCACCTTGATACACAATAAAACAGTCTTTTGGAAGATCTTCCCGCTTCACAAGACCAGCATCCTGTTCGGGTGGAGAACAAGATTATCATGAATTTAAAAACAGGTAACGAACTGAGAATTTAAACATACTAGAGATCATTCCAGTTATGTAGGCAGTTGCAAAATAACGCCTGAAAAACACTAAGGCTTGAACGTGAGTCAAATGTACGACCTCTGCGATACCGGTGCAGTGCTCTACCAACTGAGCTATCAAGCCAACTGGGAGCTGGTCACATTGTGAGTTCATGACACACCAATAGATGGTGAAGATATGGCCGAGTTCCACCACGTTTTTAATTCAAAGCAAACTCGTATTTTTCAAGATTTATATGTGGTTTAAAAATTCTCTTGTACCGAGCTCTAGCCAATCAGGGTATAGCGCGTCTTCTCGGCCAATCACCTCGCGATTGTTTACGCGTCTTCCCGCGCTCGCCACAAGTTACGTGTTTTCCTGGCTATATGTTTTAACTTGTTCTTGATTTGAGAACTTTCTGATTGGTTTATTACAATATTCTACGCCGTGATTGGCATTTGATTGCTAACTTTGGTTTTCGTTTTCAAGTTACATTTTGTCAGACGCGTCAAAAGTTAACTTACAGCGCCCAGCAAGAACAGCAGTTTGGGTTTCTCTGTCATTTTGTTGACTCCAGGCTTGTATCCAATATCCAGAGCCGCGACTTGGCTGGCCACCTGTCGAAAAGAAACAATCTGGCTTGAAGACGGTATATTCAGCAATTTTTTTTGGTAATTTTCAGAGTTACCTTCAAGTCACACACATATTTTCTTTTTACTCGAGTTAAACAGATATCCAGAACTTTCCGGGACCATAAGCCTTTTTCCAGGACTTTCCACTCCTAGAAAATGCCATAATAAAAATCCAGGACTTTCCAGGTTTTCCAGGACCCGTACGAACCCTGTTTATAATATTAATTTGGTATCACCCAACTAGAGGACTAATGCAAATCCTGCATTTTAATTGGCTACGCTACTAGAGGACTATTAGTNTGTTACAATTTCAATTTTTCTTGTCTTTTCCTCGAAATTTCAATTTTCCTTAACTCAGATAAAATTCTCTAGGTTTTCCCTGACCTCAAAGACTTTTTTTCTAACCTATGGTAGCCCTAAGTGGTTAACTAACCATGAAGAGGGGCAGGCAGCTCAAGGGACGAGAATGAAACGTGTGCAACAGTCGTGAAATCCAATACATCGGATGTGGTGAGGGGCATAATTCGTGGATTTTTACATACCCTGTGTAGCACATTAAGGACCTTCCAGCCTTTCTCGACTTTCTTAGAACTCCTCAACTTGTGCGACATATCAGCAACTACTTGATGTACTGCAGCACCTTCGTGTCCCTGAAGAATGGTATTCCCTACCAATATCATGGGGCGCTCAGCATTGGCCAAAACCTACAGTTAGAGTTTGAAAGGGTGTTAAACTGCGAGAAAACAAGCGTTGAAAATGTGGACAATATCACAAAATTCCTATAAATAACCCAAATCTCTGACAAAAACATTCTTCCCGTAATGAGGCTCCTGCGTATAAGCCTAACGGCGTACAACATGTGGTCAGATTACGTAGTCGCTTTTGAAGAAAAATAAAATTTCATACGATTATGATAAAAAAATCCCTTACAACAGGCTGTCCAGTTGTTTAGAGATTTTAATGTTCATTTAACAACTGTATGACATATTTTTTGTTTCACATCGTTCTGTTTAGTAAAAGTTAACACAGCACTGTCAGTAATAACTCACCCTGCTCCATCTGATGGAAATCCTTCCTCAGTGTACAACCCCTCACTGTCAAACTTGGTAAGCAAGTCTTTCAAAGCCACCAAGGCCTCAGCATCGGCAAATCCCCCAGCGACAGCTGCTACTTCATTACCCTTGACCTCGGATAGTTTCTNGGCCCAACAATTCTTCGCACTTGAAACGCCTTTAAAACGAAGCCCAACCATTTCCGAAGCGCAAAATTTCTTCTGAAAGTAAACCCACCTGAATACAGTTAACGACAACCAACCAAAAACCTTTACCGACTTATATAAATGGATCAGGAATACTTTGTGTTTACAACACCTTTGAAAACGCATGTCCCCCAGATACAATCTCTTTCAGGCTGCTAGCCGTATCACCAAGATACTGAAAGATATAAAGATCATTAAATTATAAACCACAAAAATATACATACTGCTGAAAGAGTCAAATGCGACAAGACACAGAACAATACAAAGATTTCACACCTCATAAGTGTATGTGAGGTCCACTTTTGTACCAACAAGAGCAACTTGGAGGTCATTGTGCATCCACCTAGGATAAATAATTATCATACAATAATTACCATAAATTATTACGCATGCGTCTAGAAGCGCTGGCGTTGAATGTGCAGTGAAGAGACAGATAGCAGTAGTTTGGCATGAGCAAGATACTCTGTGTCCTCCCCACATAGGAGTAGAAAAGATTCCTGAGGATGCTCCAGTGGACTACAAGAACAAGTAACATCAATCCGTTACTCAAGTGTCAACCAAACGCTTCCTACATTGTACCTTCAGACAGTTTTTACAAGGACTTTTCAAGGTCAACTTCCCTGATATTCGAGGACTCATTTCATTCAGAATCACACGTAAAGTTTCTTTAAAGGAGCTACGTCACTGTTTCGCATTTGGAAAAGTTCAGCCTAAATTTTTCAAGTTCGTTGATCGTAATCCACGTTAATCTCCTCCATCCTTAACCAACCACGTTCCTTTATTTGTTTAATTTTTGGTGTTTTCGTAAAACTGCCATTTTCAGGTTTCCTTCAGTCTTAAGTAACTTTATTACACGGCCAAATAACTGAAAATGCCATGACTGAGCTCCTTTAAGTGAGGGGGGAGGGGAGGAGACAAAATACAGAATACTCGAGACCCCATTGAAGGTGGGATTACTGAACTCAACTCCCGTATTGTCAAAATTTCTTTTTTATCCCATTGACTCGAAAATTCAAGGAGTTTTCACAGAGAAAACCTATTTTTTTCATTTTCAAGAACTTTCCAAGGATGTGGCGATTTTTCAGGGACTTTTCAATGGAATAACTCTGTCTTCGCTCACATGTCTGTACGTCACGACAGTAACTCATATTATACAATTAACATTACTTCCATACCCCTTGCGGATACGGGCATTCACCAGAGGGGCTTCATATCTGGGGTTAGCCCCGACAATCAGCAATACATCTGCATCCTGAAAGAAATAGTTCAACCTTTAATTTCCCAGCTATTTTACGTTAGATGGTTTTAAACAGTAATGAACCAACTCAGTAGATGTGATATAAACTTGCAAAACATCATTTTATATAAATGAAGCTCTCATCGCTATTTTCAAATTAAGACCTGTCCAATACATGTATAGAAGGTCTCCCTACTGCGGGTGATTATTATCTACAGTACTCTCATGAGGTCAAGAGAACCTAGCCATAGTAGAATTGATTCCTGAAGTCTATAGCTGTTGGATAAGGTTAGATTTTGTGTTGACCACTTGCCTCAATTCCTGCGATGGTGCTATTCATGATGTAACTGGATCTGAAGTCAGTCCTAAAAGGCACAATTAAATGCTTCACCTTAACTACACTACACAAGCAATACACACTCCTTGCAGAGACATGAAATCCTCAAGATTGAGAATGATGACAACGTGCCACCAACAGGCTTTTAGCCAGAATTTGAAAAAAGGCCATCCAATATGAAACATAATTAAAACAATTTTCTTTAGAAAGTGGCCATCCACAGGATGCCTGGGCACCCATCTGGCCAATAGCCTGGCCATCAAAGAAAGACTTTGAAGTCTGGATCAAAACAGAGAGAGCACTTTGTGTATTAGATATAGTCAGTCCAACGGAAGACAATTGCATCAAGAATTTGCTAGTGGTCCTTCCAGTTTACTAGTAGAATAAAATCATATTACAAGTAGCAAACCTTTGCAAGTAGGCTACAAAGTTACTTCATGGCCTTTACAAGGTTTTGTCATTCAAGATTCCTTTAAGGAGAGCTTTGAACACCAGGGTACTCACGAGTTAACACAGCACTGTCAGTAATAACTCACCCTGCTCCATCTGATGGAAATCCTTCCTCAGTGTACAACCCCTCACTGTCAAACTTGTTAAGCAAGTCTTTCAAAGCCACCAAGGCCTCAGCATCGGCAAATCCCCCAGCGACAGCTGCTACTTCATTACCCTTGACCTCGGATAGTTTCTGAGCGACTTCCACCAGAGCTTCCTCCCATGTGCAGGGCATCAGGTTCCCTTTGTCATCTTTGACCATCGGTTTAGTGAGACGCTGTCGTTTCAGCCCATCATAGGAATACCTGTGTCAAGACAGACTTTTATTGGTATTAAAGTAAAGTAGAATCTCTAGTTTACTGGTAACACATGCAATTATAAAAGTCTTTTCGGAATGTGACACAACAGGGCATGGGTACTAGACCAGCTGCATTGTGAAGGGCTGTCATTAAGGGCTGTAACCCGCAACACCTGTTACGGTCGAGTATGGTTGATTTTCCCTTGATGCTATGGATGAAACTGCCTGTTGTTGATAGAATCCACCCACAAAGTAACAAGTTTGTTATGGATGTGGAGAACGAGGCTACAGGTGAATTAAAACTTAATGACAGCCCTGTTGTGGGTAGTGATACTGGGGTATAAAAGGCAGGGTACATGTCTATCATGTGGCAGTCATCTAGGCCTCAGAACCAACCTCATTCTGTTAGTCCAGTAATTTTTTTCCTCCTTAGTTTTACAGATTTCATTTGGCAGTTGCTTTTAGCTGTGTACATTGTAAAGGTCCCATAAGAAAATCCTAATCATTGGAGCTTGAGCTGAGGTTCAAAACCAAGATTCTCTTCATATTTTATTTCCCAAAGGATTTTTCTTTTTTGCAGGTTTTTCTGGCCTCCATTTAACTGTATTTACTCTGTAAGCATGTTGGCACTCATCAAGCCCTCTTAAATTAGCCCATTATTTTCATAACCTGATCTTAGAGGTTTTCTTTCTTGAGTCCTCCATGCAAACTCAGTGACAAAAGTACGTCATAAAGCAGGGCTAAAAAAAACTTAAATTCCAGCTTGCTCTTCGAAGAAGCAGCTCTCAAATTTTGCTTGCCCTGAGCAAGTCCAAGTCTACCTTTTTTTATTTAGCTGGCAGACAACTTGTTTGGGCCCTTCCCCATGCCTTGCTAATGCCCATCAGGTAAGTGAGAATGAAACGTTCCTTGCCTGGAAAGATAATCTAATTGTCCCGGACGGCCGAGCAGCACTTTGAGTCGTTGCTCCTTGCATATAATCAGAAATTGATCATTCACTCATGCCTACTCCAGTTAGCCTTACCTTGTCTTGTCTGAAATCCACTCTTCATTTATATCCTAGAAGGACAGAAACCATGACTTCAAAATGCCTTTCATAAGATACATTTGTCTTACTTGTTCTTGTAATCAAAGTATTTATATTTGGCTTGTAAATTTAACTTAACTTTAAATTTAACGAGCATTTCCCAAGCTGAATGACCAACTTGGCTCAACAGCAAATGCACTGAAGGGTGTCCTACCTCATTCAGCCTCGGTAGAATCCTCATGACTTCACCACATCTTGTGTTTACTACAATATTACTTCCTACAGCATCCATCACATCCACAGAATCAGTTTTCCTACAAGAATCACAACTAGATGATTAATAATATAGGGCTGTAGCTACATGTAGTAACAAGCAATTCAAGGGCCTTGCCTTGGTAAAAATTGAATTTATATAATATAATTATATTTTATATAAAAAAAAAATGCAAAAGAAATGTTTTTTTTTTCTGATATTACCTTGATAAGAACTTTAGTCTGGCTACTGCCAGTTAATACACAAGCATAGAGAGTCATTAGTGGTACTCCAACATAACCGGTATCCATCTACACTGCAGAAACATGTACAATGTCCACACAATGATACATACAAAACAAAACTGTACAAAATTATGTACCTGAGTTCCCAGGGTCTGGCTGTAAATGCATATGGTTTTGATGTGAGGGCTCCAACTGGGCATAGATCTATAAGATAATGTAAATTTTATATTATAGTGCCTTAGTTGAATAAGTATACAACTGTACATTTCATGTAGTTTTGTGCAAGAACCCCAAAACCAAGTCATCCAAATGTTCTATTTCTGTTTTCAAACTTTTTAAATTACAAAATCTAAATCAATCAGTCAGTTAATCATGCAAGCAAGCAAGCAAATCAATTGATCAATCAATCAATTGATCAATCAATCAATCAACAAGTCAATCAATCAATCAACCAACCAATCAGTCAGTCAATCAATCAATCAATCAACCAACCCATCAATCAACCAATCAACCAATCAATCAATCAACCAATCAATCAATCAATCAACAGGGTTCGTAACTTTTTTCAGAAAAAAATTTCCAGGACTTTTCCAGGACTCAGATTGATTTTTCCAGGACTCTAAAATTCACATTAACCCTTTCACTCCCATTATCTTAATGTTAATTCTCCTTACTGTCTGCCATACATTTCATGTTTTTTTTTTACTTGACTTTAACAGATTTCCAGACCTTTCCGGGACCAGTAGCCCTTTTCCAGGACTTTCCAGTCCTGGAAAATGCCACAATAAAATTCCAGGACTGTCCAGGTTTTCCAGGACCCGTACAAACCCTGATGGATGGATCGATCAATCAATCAATCAATCAATCAATCAGTCAATCAATCAGTCAGTCAGTCAGTCAGTCAATCAATCATTTATTAATATCTTAAATGGCCACTTCACACACCAACAATGTTTCCTGACAGCTCTGACTTAAACATTTTCTCCACATATGTTCCAACTTGCATGTCATTCCCTCTTCCAGTTGTACCCAGATCATCTACACCAGCAATCTCACTGGCAAACCTGAAATTGAAACAGCCTCTCAGTGTTGGTTTGTTCTGTCTTATTTCTTGTAAGATACAAACAAAATTGCATGTGTCCTGCCTCTCGATTTAGTTTATATTTCCTTACTGTATTTTTATAGTAGTCTTTTTTTTCCTTCTAGAATCCACTAAGCTCAGGGAAATTTTTGAATGTATTGATTACATGTACAAGCCAGGGCAATGAAATCAGTTAATTTTTCAACCCTCTAAGTGATGCTCAAAGTAAAAATTCTCCTTTCTGATTGCCAAACAATCCAAGAATTTGGTTATAAATTACCGGTACATGTCACTGAACACCTCATTGATAATAGTAAATCATTCTTGCCAAGAATATAGACACTCACTACCCAGGCAAAGCTAAGAAATGGATAGCAATCTTGATGTGGCATGGGCAGAAGATCCAACAACAGAGGTGGGCAAAATGAAAACACTTCACCAAAGTGGCAGTGGGTGGGTAAAAAAACTGGACACAACTTACGACTACAAAACTAGACAAAAGAAGCAAAAAATCTGAATTACCCCCCTACATTTATAGGCAAGGGATGCCCCCAGAGACTTAAGGATAACCAAGCTCCATCCATTAGGGCAATAATTTGGAGCATAATTGCACTACAAGTGCATGGGTGAGGTTTCGTGGAGATTATCACAATGAGAATATTTTATTCTCCTGTCACCTGTCTGTGTGGAAATGAACATGTATGTAATTACCTAAGTGAAGAGAAATTACAGGTTGATCTATTTGAAATTTCCCTTACCTAATGCATCTGGTGCAGTGAATGCAGCGTGTCATGATAGTTTTTATTAGTGGCCCTACATTTTTGTCTTCAACAGCCCTTTGGAGACAAAAACAAAATTAATTATACTTTGCGAGTGTGAACTCCAGCTGGAAAAGACACTTGTAATACATGAATATGTACAATGAATATTCTTGGGCAAAGTACTTGACTCTTGCAGAAATTAATTATTTTTCTCAACCTACACTATAGATGTGTAAATGGNGCAAGGGAGGCCTCCAGAGACTTAAGGTACATCCATAAATAAGGTAAATCCATTGGGGTAATAATTTGAAGCATAATTGCATTACAAGTGCATGGGCGAGATTTCATGGGGATTATCAGAGTGAGAATATTTTATACTCCTGTCACCTGTCTGTGTGGAAATGAACATGTAATTACCAAAGTGAAGAGAAATTACAGGTTGATCTATTTGAAATTTCCCTTACCTAATGCATCTGGTGCAGTGAATGCAGCGTGTCATGATAGTTTTTATCAGTGGCCCTACATTTTTGTCTTCAACAGCCCTTTGGAGATAAAAACAAAATTAATTACAGCTTGCGAGTGTGAACTTCAGCTGGAAAAGATACGTATGTTACATGAACATGTACATGTACAATGAATATTTTTGGGCAAAGTACTTGACTCTTGCAGAAATTAATTATTTTTCTCAACCTACACTTTAGTTGTTTAAATGGGTGTTGGCCTTCATGGGGAAGGGGGCAACTGCACAGAACAGCATGGACCTCTATGATTTCCACTGTATTTAAAGGATTTACTTTCACAATCCAATAGAGATATGATTATAGGGTGGATGTCAGTTAAATGACTCAATATTCAGTTGAAGATTTGACTTTGAAATGGAGGATCAAAGTTACTCTGGATCTGTGAATTCATTTTAGTAGTTCTCGTAGGCTCAATTTAAGCCGCTTTCTTGAACAGCGGCTGGTAATCGAGGTTTGACAATTGCCTTACATCCAACCCCTACTGTACCTTTTTCCTGAAAATCTGTTGTCTACAAATCTGCTTCTGTCACTACCAAAAGCCATTGACTGATCCTGAAGGTCACACTCTCCACCTTGATCACAGATGGGACAGTCCAGTGGATGATTCACCAACAAAAACTCCATCACACCCTCCCTAGTGACAAATAAATAATATACATGTACACATGTGAAGGTAAGGTAAGGTTTGCATATGACCCAACTGGCACTTGGCTGGTTTCTGTTGCATGAAGTGATTACATAGGAGTATTTCTACTCCCCCCTGGATAGGATGCTAGTTCATAAGTACCCATTTATACACCTAGGTGGAGAGAGGCACTGTGAAAGTATGGTGTCTTGCCCAACAACACAACACAATGTCTCCAGCCAGGGCTCAAACCCAGCCCGCTCGATCCAGAGTTGAGCACACTAACCATGAGGCCACCGCGCATCCCAGGTATACACATGTAAGGTCCACCAGCAAATGTGCATGTGCATAAAATCAGCATGTGTGTTTCAAAGGAGGATAAAATGTACCAGTGTACATTACAAGTATCTATGTTGTATCTACAATGCATTCATTTTCAGGCTGTAATCATACCCTGTAATTAACAACATCAGATAAGAAGGATGATGATGGAAGGAACAGAAGTCCAACTTTGCCACACAAGAGTATCATCACAGGCCAAAGAACGGTCGTGAGTACAGACCAAACACAAGTTAGACCTCACTGCATTTGGTCTGTACTCATGACCTCATTCACGATTCTTACACACAGACCTCCTGCTCGGTTAATAAAAACTACATGTAAGTACTGATCTGTTACCTTGCTTTTCTTGTCATTGGTGAGTCTGTCTTGACCTTCATCCCTTTCATTACTGGCATTGCACAAGATGCAACAGGCTAAAACAAAAGACATGTTTAAATTGAAATATCATTTCTTCTTAACTATAGTCATGCATTTGTCTAACACAAGTTCTGAGAATTTGCTGACATCTCTGTTGCTGTTCAATAGCCTCGGTACAATTTGGTATTTTCCAAAAACAAAGTAGTGTGAGCTCAACAGTTTCATCACTCATAGAAATGGTGAGTGAATAGTCTAATTGTTTTAATATAAATCTATTTTGTTAACAGCCGCACACCACTAGGCTACATGTACTCATTACCTACAGCTAAAAGCTAGTGAGTAGCATAGCAAATAAAAGAATGACATTTGTTATAGAACACTAGTAGATTTATACTAAGTTAATGGTACATCACCATACACCAGAACAAAGGAAAATACCAAATTATACCAAGGGTAAAATTGAACCAAAACATACACACATGTACATGAACTGCAACATTTTGCCTGTGGACAGGGACCCCTGTTTGGGTTTAGGTTTGTGCAAGCAGTGAAGCCAGTGATGGAAATGGATGCAGAGAAACAAAGTCCACCTTCAGCCCTCACTAGTGGCTCACAAATCACTGCTTGCATAAACCATAATAAGAGAGCCTTCTTGCTACTGAAAAGCTGATTATTTCTTATAAAGGTAGTCCTGTGTCTGGTCTGCTTGACAATGTCAATGTTTATACAATTATTGTATAAAATTAATCATAATCAGGAAATAACAGGGTTAAAATTAAATGGTTCACGAGAAGTACTCACAAGAAATATAGAATGGTAAAGACAAAAGATTGAGTATAACTAACCTTAATGGATCTCTCCACCTCAACAAGGCACATGCGACAATTCCCAGCCACAGAAAGTCTGTCATGATAGCAAAACCTTGGAATTTCTACACCAGCCATCGCACAGGCCTAAACAAACACAGGGACAACAACCAAAGATATCAAATGCATCACTTGTACAAGCCAAAATAAAATAATGATACAATTTTACTTTTCATATGCTGTACAGCATTACAAAAATGATGCATTTCTTTGATCCACAGTACAATAAATAATGCATTAACACAGCTCAAGAGCCAGATTTGAGTGCTCATGCATTGTACACCCGCAATGGACTGATGGACCACAAAAGTGGCTGAGACACCATGACATTTAACTCTTTAGCGGGTTCTTATTAATTTAGGAAGTAGAGGGCTAGTTTCATGAAGTAGGTGGCTGACACCAAAGATCTAGCAGAGTATTGATTACCAAATTAATTAATAATTGTGGTAACATATAAATAGCTTGAATGTAAAGAAACTGAACGTGTCAGCCATTCATTACCTGCTGAATGCGTATGGAATGTTTTCTTACTTACCTGTAATACCGTTATTCCGGGATCAACTAACAGACTTTTGTCATTTACAAAGACTTCAATTTTTTCAGGAGCTGGAGCAGTTGCATAATGTTGAGCTGAAATAAATATGTGATGAATAATATCACAGTAAGCAAGGTTGTACTCTAGAGGCACCTGGGTGCCACAGGCAACTAACTTTTGACTTTGGGCGGCTAGAAAAACTTGCTTTTTTCATATAAGCTTAAGGGGTGGGCATCCAGGATTTCATGGTTAGGAACCTTTGGGCTCATCGTAATTTTTCTTAGGCCACAGCCTTGGTAAGTTGCTTGTACATAATTGTATAAAAAGCGCTAGCCTAGAAGCAGGCTGTCTAGTTTGGGTTTTGCAAATTAAATGAAGACTGCAGACAAGGTACAAAATGCAGACTGAGAATACAAAACTGTTTTCATCCTATGCCTAAA